AAGATTATGCCAAAATTTCATGTTTTCCGTCCCGTTTTTGCTCATTTCTCGGAGGCAAAATGAGCAAGAACGCTCATTTGTACGTCATTCTAGAGAGAAGTAAATGGCCTTTTTAGAAAGTGAGCCATCGATAAGGAAATGGAAATGTTGGCAGTTTTCTCAAAAAATGCTTGAATTCAAGTAGTTTTTGTGTTGCAAAATCCACTTGAACATGACGCTGCTTTTTTCGAAGTTTCTCAAGAACCATTCGAGCCAGAGAATTCGTTTTGGCATCGTTGGATAGAGAATTGAATGGGGGTGGATCCGCCCTTGGTCAACTCAGTTGACTGACAACTCAAGCAAATGTACCAAGACTTTGGTCAGTTTTGTAGCCCGGATGGTGCCCAACAAACTCCCCAGAAAAATGTTAAATGAACTTTGGCACCCTGTTTCTCGAAAACGGAAGCACTTGAAGCAATTTTCAAGTCGTAACTTTACACGATATTCCCCTATTGAGCGAACGCAGTCAATGAATGAAACTGACAGTTCTCGGATTGTATGAATGACTTTGGGTCACTCGCAATGACAACCACTACACGTAGGGGAGTATCTGGTAAAACGGGCAGATTATTCACTAAACTTTTTGTTTGAGCGTTTAATCGCACAATTTAAATGTTTGACGTCAGTGCAGAACAGCTTGCACAGACTATTATTTTGATTGAGGCCACTATGTGCGACTTTAGGTCTCAACCGCGCTGATCGCCACCACAAAAATCACCCCAGATGACGAAATCACGCACATGGTCATGCAATGGGGCCAGTTCCTCGACCATGATCTGGACCATGCCACGCCCAGTGTCAGCTCGGAGAGCTGGGACGGCATCGATTGCAAAAAGTCCTGCGACTACGCCCCGCCCTGCTACCCAATGGACGTGCCCGAGGACGACCCAAGGGTCCGAAACAGGTTGACGATTTCCAAAATTGTTGGCGAAGCAACCGTGCGATTGACTAACGCGCGTTTCCAGGCGCTGCATCGACTTTATCAGATCGAGCGCCATCTGCGGATCGGGGATGACGTCGATTTTTTTCGAGGGCGCCCAACACAGGGAGCAAATCAACCAATTGACGTCGTATATTGATGGATCAATGGTAAGCGTCTGGTAGTCCGAAGACTATTGAAGTGACGCATGTCGTACTTCCGGGCGCAGATCTACGGCTACTCGGAGGAATTGGCTCGCGAAGTTCGGGACCTGGACGCGCCCCTGGGGCGCCTAAAGGAAGGGGCGGTATTCCAGGGGCGCAAGCCCTTGCTGCCCTACGCGGGGGGCCAGGGGATGGACTGCCGGCGCAACCTGTCCGAAAGCACCGTCAACTGTTTCCTGGCCGGAGACATTCGAGCCAATGAGCAGAGCGGGCTGACGGCCATGCACACCATCTGGATGCGCGAGCACAACCGGCTAGCCAAAGAGCTGAGGTGAGCAGTTGTAGCTGACCAGCGCTTAACCCACCATTGGACCGATGCGCTTCAGGTACCTGAACCCGCACTGGGACAGCGACATGCTCTACCACGAGGCCCGGAAGATAGTCGGCGCAGCCATCCAGCACATCACCTACAAGCATTGGCTGCCTTTCGTCGTCGGTCCAGAAGGCTTGGACCAACTGGGCGCGTATGACGACTACAACCCACGCCTCCACCCGAGCGTCTCCAATGTTTTTGCCACGGCCGCCTTGCGCTTTGGACACACTCTCATCAACCCCGTGCTGGACCGGTAATTGCGCATATTTCCTGAACAGCAGTGGAGGATTTTATGGACTTTTCCTCGTTCTGGTCATGCTAGACTCGACTGGAACTTCACGGTCATCAAGGAGGGCCACCTGCCGCTGCACAACGCCTTCTTCTCCCCGTGGAGAATAGTGGAGGAGGGCGGCGTCGACCCGCTGCTCAGGGGGATGTTCATGGCGGCGGCCAAGAAGAAAATGCCCAAGGAGAACCTCAACACCGAACTGACAGAGCGCCTGTTTGAGACGGCGCATGCCGTCGCTCTTGACCTGGCCGCCATGAACATTCATCGGTGAGTAAAGTGGGCCTTTTTTCCACATCCCCGGCAAACGGCAGGTTTGATTGGCAGATCACGCGACCACGCCCTGCCTGGCTACGTGGCCTTCCGCGACTTTTGCAACATGTCCACAGTGCACAGCTTCGAAGATCTGGCCGGGGAAATCAGCGACGCTTCAGTGCGGCGCAAGTTGGCCGAACTGTACGGCCATCCGGCCAACATTGATGTGTTTGTGGGCGGCATTTTGGAGGATCCGGTTGAGGATGGGCGTGTCGGCCCTCTGTTCCGCTGCCTGCTATTGGAGCAGTTCACCACCTCGCGCGATGGTGATCGCTTCTGGTAAGCAACCACCAACCGAACATGGCACAGTTTTTTCGAGCCGTTAGATGAAAAGTTCACCCTGTATCAGGGTTGGCTTCATTTTTTCCAAGTGATTTAAATCACCTGACTCTTTTCGAAAAAAATCACGAATTAAATCAGAGTTCCACTCAACAAATATAAAACAGAACACAAATAATCCTAAGAAATGAAAATCAAAATAGAAAACGGTACATGTGAACTTAAAAATTAAGCGGTATTAATGGTGAACTCAATAATACTAAAACGGAAATCACTTCTCTTTCTCTTCATCTCTACAGGGTTATTCACGCTATACGGCACGAAATTTTGCGGCTAAACCGTTTGATTTTTTAAAAGTATTATTTCATGCTTACCGAGCGCACATTTTAAAAAATATTTTGGTAATGTACAGGGTGTCCCAAAAGCTCTAAAGTTATCAAAGTTGCGTTTTTTTAAATAGAATGTCCTATATATTATTGCATTTTTGGATTCGCTGAACAAAATAAGTGTCTGTTTTAATAAGGTTTTT